CATCATCGATCATGAACTAGAGAGCAGCCTCCCCGGCTTCTCTCCATTTCATGATCGATGCCAAGGAGGCATTTGATTTCAAAAAGCTGAACTCTGGGTGCTGAACTCTGGGTACCCTTCTGCCGTCCGGTGGTGCTCCGTTTCCTAAACAGAGTGTAATGTTGAGAGAACCAATGTTTTGATCTGCATGTGCTCGTATTTGGATTTAATTCCACCCTTTCATTGTACTACAAGTGCCACTGCACCGCATCGAGTCCATGGAACTTTAGTAGTGTGCATATGGACTGAGTGTGGACTGGTACTTCCTTTAGCCAATGGATTTCGACCAGTTTGCAGAATTACCAAGCAATACAGTGGTTCTGTGTAGCATTCGTTGTGGCGTGCGATTAATTTAATGAAATGACCCGGCCAATAGCGTGACCGCAACTGGTTGAAGAAAAAAAAAAAAAAAGAAAAGCGCCTGTTAGGACTGGCCCTTAACTTCATTGGTAGAGAAGAAGTTTGAAACCCTGACGAAGGAAAGGGAGTGCTGGGGACGACTGTGTTGGATACTGGCGGTTGCTGATCTATCATGACCGTTTTGGTCATGCACATCGAGGGACCTCATTATAGCAACACGTCGTCCAGCTTTGCTTTTATCGAGCTACAGGGAGTCAGACTGGGCCATGTGCATGCGCGAGGAGGCGTTGCTGTACCTTCCATGCTGCATGGATCTGCAGACCGTCCAGACTCTGTTCCATTTCCGAGGAGTGGAACTATGGGATGGCATTACAGTAAAAACTACAGCAATGTGCTTCCGATTTTAGTGAAGAACTCAATAAAAACTGGGCGAGGGAAAGGAAAAACGAGAGGAAAGTCCTTTGTTAGGACTGGCCCTCAGTAAATCAACACAGAACTCTTCATGCTCTGAAAAGAAATTCAAAATTTACGCAGCCGTCGGTACCACGAGGCTCATTTAGTCCACGCTTGACTTGTCCGACTTCGAACTGTGGAGCCTACAGTAGTGCGATCTAGTACATGCTCAACCTCAAAAGTCTTCAACGGAAAATATCCCAAGCACGACAACTCGAACACGCAAGATTGCTTCTAGGATTGCAAGAGATGGCACTCCGCAGCGAACAGCCTATCTACGAGTCGTCCAGAGCACGTTGTGAAAGGGATTTAGTCAATGAGGTGCAGCTTCTTACCTTTGATGTGACTCATCGATACGTTTTGCTTGTGGCAAGTGGTCCTGATGAATGGAGGCTTCCGGGATTTATTTCTTACGACGTAGGTGACAGCTCGATAGTGAAGGTGCGCAGCGCTGCCAAGACGGTCATTGGTATCGAATTTCCGTTCATTATTCTTCGACATTGCTACTCTGAGGAGTTGTCCGTTGAAAGGGAAAGTGATGGTCTTTCAGCTAGTATGATCCGCGCTATTCTTGTTGCTCAATGCCATGAGAAATCTCAACGAGTGCCTTCTGGATGCAGTTGGGTGGCCATCACCAATGATCACAGAGCGGGTGTTGTCCATGTGTCGCACTCGGAGAAAGGAGCGGAGCAAGCCATTCGGCGAGAACTGGAACAGACCATAGCCAACGTTTCGCCGCCTAGACGAGTGCCTTGGGCGTCTATGGGATGGTATCCTGAAACGCTTCGAAAGGTGCGCGAAATATTGCATGGACACAATCTGCATGTGATGGGTGAATTGGTTCAGATCCGTGCGTCATCCAGAGGAGCCGTGCTAAGGATCAAGACGAATGAGAGCGATTACTACTTAAAATGCAGTACATCCACGTCGAACGATGCTGGAGTCACGTCAATAATGTCTCGCGTTGCTCCAGATCTTGTCGCCAAGCCGTTATTCGCAGATGTGGAACGTCGTCAAATGATCCTTGTGGACCATGGTGACGAGACTGGCTTCTGTGGATTGGATGGTGAAGGGCGTAAGCAGGTCGTAAGAGATCTGGCGCGTCTGCACCGCGCAAGCGCAAAAGTGTTACCGGATTTGTTGAAGGTCGGTCTACCAAGTTATTCACCGCTGTGGATGCGTGAGAACTTGAACTCACTTTTTCAGTGTAAGGAGCTTTTGTCCGTGCTAGAAACGGAACAAATACAGAAGCTGTCGAGCCTCAAGGTGAAGCTGCAAGATGATCTGACGGAACTTGTTGATTGGGAAATGCCTATTTGTTTGGTACACAATGACACGAGCGACGGGAACCTTATCAGGAAGAACGCCGATGAGGGTCCAGGGGTCCGGTTTTTCGACTTTGACAGTTCTTTTGCGGGCCATCCTTTGTTTGATGTTGACTGGTGCAGCCGGGAAACCCTAGAGGTCTATGCACAAGAAATGGACATAGCTGACATTGACGGATTGGTTAGGTTGAACAGGAAAGTATTCGATCTTGAGTGGCTCGTGCAAGCATATAGATACTTGGACATGGCTAGGGAAGCGGAAGACGGTGCTCCCCGGGAAGACGCCCTTCACTGGCTAGGAGACAGTGTTCGTACCTTGCTGTGGTGACCGAAGAAGGAAATGGTGACGACATATTTTTGGGCTGATTTAACGTGTACGACGGTGCAGGCTGGGACGAGGCGCTCTGCAGGTGGCATCAGCTGTATGCGCTTCGTAAGGAGTCGGAAAGAAAGTGTGAAAGTTTTGGCGGGAGCATCATCGCCAGGATGACAGTAAAGGAGCCATGAAAATGTTCAGTTCGTGTTTTGTATGTATCACCCGGCTTCATGAAACGCCAGTCCATCTTTGACAACGAGGCGTACGCACACTGCACTGCGGTTGCCGCATTCGTACCAGACGGAGCACAAGGAGGGGGCTCGTTGACAGGACTCGCGTACAGGGGGAGCAGTGTTGGCATGAGTGCGGACGGAAGACATGTGATGTCTGCACCCTGGGACGAGACTGTGTGTGCGTGGGACGTGGATAGAGGGATCACACTTCGTAGCGGGTGGGCAGAGGGCTGGCAAGACATCACGGGTCGAATTCTGAGGACCGCAGACACGGGCACTGTCTCATATACAGGATAAACATCGCATATAACTCTACGCAAGGGAAGAGTTGCATGAAGGCGAGAGGACGAGTTCTGAGGCTGTCCTGGGTCAATTGGATACTACAGTAGACTCATAGATATGGCACGATCACGCGATTGTACTTGCAAAAGGCCGACCTGCGAGTCCAAATGGCTGTAACGGTGAAGAGGCCGAGTGGGGCGTCGGAGGTCCTGTCGAGACGCGCTTTCCTGGACCCACGAGGGGCGAATTCGACGTCACCCTAGCGTCGCCGACGTCACTGGTACAAAACGAGAACATGCGGGGATCTCGTGTTGAGCGCGATCCAGCGAGCCCTTGGGAGCAGTCACGGACGCTGCCACGCCACGAGAGTCGCTTCGGTAATACTGGACACGCCGTACTCGCCCAGGAAGAGGGCTCCTGTCTATAACGTACGACGCACGGACCGGCAGTCTTTGAAGAAACAGGCAGGCCTTGGTACAATATCCGTCGAAAGATGCGATTTAACGCACAGTCGTGGCCGCACGCCTTGTCGCTCCTGACCATCACGCACACTCTCGCCTGTGCCCCGCGCCGCCCCATCCGTGACGACCCACTGACCTCCGCCAATTCTGTGTTAAGGCCACGGCCGCAGCCGGGTGCTGCCGTTCTTGCCGGGAATTGCCCGCTGCGTCCCTTTGCAATTCCTCTACCCCCATACAGCGGGGGCATCGCCGGGTGTCCAACTGATCTTTGTCGTCAATCGATGTATCTAGTGAGCGTGAATAAGTGCTGCGGCAAGCTCTGAGGATCGTACCCCTGTCGCAGAGTTTGTGCAAGTGGGGCTAACGCAGTGGTTTCCCGGCAGTCCCACGGGAGCTCTCGTGTCCGCATGCCAGCAATGTATCCCACTAACCCTCCGCCAATTGGCTGTTCCCAACCAAGGAGCTCTTGGTGGAGTGAGGTGGAGTGAGGTCAGCTTGAACACGTCGACATCCATCCGTGCTCTATCACCCCCACCACCGACACAAGCGCATCCGCACCGTCGCCGCCGCCCCACCGCCTTTACGACCGCCCCCCTCCCCCTTTCCCTCCTCCCCGCCCTTGCGCCCAAGCTCCCGCAGTTGCCTCTCCTGTCGCTCCTCCAGCCGCTCCTCCTCGTCCCCTTTCCCGCTCGCCCGCACACCCTTCCTCCTCGCCGTCCTGGAAGCAGCCGGCAGCCTTCGCCCTGCACGCGCGTGCCTACAACGTCTCGCACCACCTCTTCTCGCTTCTCACGGCGGGCGTCAACACCCAGTCCTCCTCGCGCGTCTTCACGCCCGCGGCCTGCGTCGTCGCGCGCGCCCACGTCTTCCCGCCGCACGCCGCGCACGCCACGCGCGCGGATTGCTTCGTCCCGCGCGCTGCCCTCGCCGACGGCGCCCCCGTCTCGCCGCTGCTGCTGCATGACCACGCCCTGCGCGACGCCCAGGTCCACCCGGCACGCCGCAACGGCGAGCTCTTCGAGCTGCTCCCCGGCGATGTCCACCCCGTCAAGGACGAGGGCAAGCTCACGCTACACGAGCCCGCCTTGCGCGCACACATGCGTGAGGGCGGCGGCCCGGGCGTGGTCCACGTGCGCTCGCACGTGAAATGAGCAGACGCGGCCCTGGATACGCCCACCGGCGGGCGGTGGGAGCTGTGTTTGGTGACTGCCATGTAATTTGTGTACACACAAACGGCAAAACTGGTTGAGGCTCGACCACGAACAAGGCAAATGTGTAAATACACGAAGCGCATTTTTGGCGGGAGTGAGAGCGACAAAGCAGTATAATGTCAGAAGTGTGTTGGTCCCCTTCAGAGTCTGAAGTTCAGACTACGGTTCCTCTGGATGACGCACAGATCTGAACCAATTCACCCATCACATGCAGATTGTGCCCATGCAATATTTCGCGCACCTTTCGAAACGTTTCAGGATAATATCTGACAGACGCCCAAGGCACCCGTCTAGGCGGCGAAACGTTGGCTATGGTCTGTTTCCAGTTCTCGCCGAATGGCTTGCTCCGCTCCTTTCTCCGAGTGCGACACATGGACGACACCCGCTCTGTGATCACTGGTGATGGCCACCCAAATGCATCCAGGAGGCACTCGTTGAGATTTCTCCTGGCCCTGAGCAACAAGAATAGCGCGGACCATACTAGCTAAAAGATCATCCCTTTGAACGGACAACTCCTCAGAGTGACAATGTCGAAGAACAATTAACAGAAATTTAATACTAAAAATTGTCTCCGCAGCGCTGGACACTCTAGATCCCGCACTGTCACAAGTTCATCAGAAAGAAATGTTGGATGCATTTATTCATCAGGACTACTTGCCACAAGCAAAACGTATCGATGAGTCACATCAAAGGTAAGACGTTGCATCATTGACAAATCACAACGTGCACTGGACGACTCGTAGATAGGCTGTTCGCTGCGGAGTGCCACCTCTCCCAATCCTAGAAGCAGTTCGCATATATTTTTCCGTCAGTACTGTGATATTGTCTCACATGTTCCTTCTTTTCCTTTGTGGCAGCGCGCGTGGAGAGATCAGCTTCGATGGTCACACGGCGACCGCAGACTTTGCAAATGAAAACACCCGGCATGTTCGTGATGTAGGCAGAAGTCAAACACTGGCGTGGGAGTCGGAACGGGCAGGAATAGCAGGACACAAACTCCTTCCACAGAACAGCGTGGTAGTTTTCAACTTACTCTTGGTCTGGAAGAGCGGGAGGGGGGGGGGGGGGGGGGCAAGGATCGTGTGAACGAAAATATCTTCACAATAAATACACTACTAGCTACCCTTCGAAGGGTAAAGTTTAGGTGCTAGACCAACAGAGAAAGGACACGGTCAGAGTTGATCTACTCTTGTATCATGCAACAACGCTTGTCCAATGGCAACTGATCCAACAGTTTCTATTTCATTTTGATTTCCTCAGAATAACCCTAGCTTGATTTATGAGTGCTTTTCATCTTTTTGTGGCCTTTTTACTTCAATCCGCAAAGTTGGGAAAACACGTGTTTTTACAGCGAGTTCGATCAAAATTTCTGGCAGAAATATTTTCGAACAAGTCTTTTTTTTTGCGTAAACTCTCTGTTAACGTCTTCTGCAAAAATCACAGGACCTCCAAACTTGCTGCATGTGAGTTTTATGTGAGTTTTGACAGCCTCTGTAGCGCTTTGGCCTCAAAACGCACACCACCACCATTCTTCTAACCATCCGCGCCATTCACACAACGTCACACCCCCTGCAAAACCCTTTCAAACTTAAGTATGGGCTCCTCGGCTGTCTCTAACGCACGCGAAGAAACACCAGGCACACCTTGATCTATCCCATTCCGATGGATAGAAGCCTGTTATGGACTTAAGACACTGCTATGAGCGTCAAGAAGACTGCAGTCGTTCAAAATGTTAGGGGCCAACAGGTTCACGGAGAAGTCCTGCCTATCCACATCTCCTGTAGTGTCGTCAAATAGATTGATGTACATGCTCGAGGCTCGTGCGGCTTGCTGGTGTTGCTTTTCCGTCCGCACTCATGCCAACACTGCTCCCCCTGTACGCGAGTCCTGTCAACGAGCCCCCTCCTTGTGCTCCGTCTGGTACGAATGCGACAACTGCAGTGCAGTGTGCGTACGCCTCGTTGTCAGAAGATGGACCGGCGTTTCATAAAGCCGGTGATACATGCAAAACACGAACTGAACATTTTCATGGCTCCTTTACTGTCGTCCTGACAATGATGCTCCCACCAAAACTTTCACATTTTCTTTCCTACTCCTTACATAGCGCATACAGCTGATGCCACCTGCAGAGCGCCTCGTCCCAGACCACACTGTCGTACACGTTAACTTAGCCCAAAAATATGTCGTCACTATTTCCTTCTTCGGTCACCGCAGCAAGCGACGAAAAGAGCCCCCTAGCCAGTGAAGGGCGTCTTCCCGGGGAGCACCGTCTTCCGCTTCCCTAGCCATGTCCAAGTATCTATATGCTTGCACGAGCCACCCAAGTGGACTGAATACTTTCTCGGTCAACCTAACCAATCCGTCAATGTCAGCTATGTCCATTTCTTGTGCATAGACCTCTAGGGTTTCCCGGCTGCACCAGTCAACATCAAACAAAGGATGGCCCGCAAAAGAACTGTCAAAGTCGAAAAACCGGACCCCTGGACCCTCATCGGCGTTCTTCCTGATTAGGTTCCCGTCGCTCGTGTCATTGTGTACCAAACAAATAGGCATTTCCCAATCAACAAGTTCCGTCAGATCATTTTGCAGCTTCACCTTGAGGCTCGACAGCTTCTGTATTTGTTCCGCTTCTAGCACGGACAAAAGCTCCTTACACTGAAAAAGTGAGTTCAAGTTCTCACGCATCCACAGCGGTGAATAACTTGGTAGACCGGCCTTCAACAAATCCGGTAACACTTTTGCGCTTGCGCGGTGCAGACGCGCCAGATCTCTTACGAACTGCTTACGCCCTTCACCATCCAATCCACAGAAGCCAGTCTCGTCACCATGGTCCACAAGGATCATTTGACGACGTTCCACATCTGCGAACAACGGCTTGGCGACAAGATCTGGAGCAACGCGAGACATTATTGACGTGACTCCAGCATCGTTCGACGTGGATGTACTGCATTTTAAGTAGTAATCGCTCTCATTCGTCTTGATCCTTAGCACGGCTCCTCTGGATGACGCACGGATCTGAACCAATTCACCCATCACATGCAGATTGTGTCCATGCAATATTTCGCGCACCTTTCGAAGCGTTTCAGGATACCATCCCATAGACGCCCAAGGCACTCGTCTAGGCGGCGAAACGTTGGCTATGGTCTGTTCCAGTTCTTGCCGAATGGCTTGCTCCGCTCCTTTCTCCGAGTGCGACACATGGACAACACCCGCTCTGTGATCATTGGTGATGGCCACCCAACTGCATCCAGAAGGCACTCGTTGAGATTTCTCATGGCACTGAGCAACAAGAATAGCGCGGACCATACTAGCTGAAAGATCGTCAACGGACAACCCCTCAGAGTAACAATGTCGAAGAATAATGAGCGGAAATTCGATACCAATGACCGTCTTGGCAGCGCTGCGCACCTTCACTATCGAGCTGTCACTTACGTCGGAAGAAATAAATCCCGGAAGCCTCCATTCATCAGGACCATTTGCCACAAGCAAAACGTATTGTTGAGTCACATCAAAGGTAAGAAGCTGCACCTCATTGACTAAATCCCTTTCACAACGTGCTCTGGACGACTCGTAGATAGGCTGTTCGCTGCGGAGTGCCATCTCTTTCAATCCTAGAAGCAATCTTGCGTGTTCGAGTTGTCGTGCTTGGGATATTTTCCGTTGAAGACTTTTGAGGTTGAGCATGTACTAGATCGCACTACTGTAGGCTCCACAGTTCGAAGTCGGACAAGTCAAGCGTGGACTAAATGAGCCTCGTGGTACCTTGGTACAGACGGTTGTACAGACGGTTGTACAGACGGTTGTGCAGACGGTCGCGTAAATTTTGAATTTCTTTTCAGAGCATAATAATAAGTGGATTCATTCAGTATGAGGCCATTGGTCGCCTAGATACCACCGTAATGTTTCTGGACTGCGTCTGCATTTTTGTATATTTTAAACAACGCGTCTGCACTGTAAATACTCCAACCGCATCTTGAATGATGTCAACGTGTACCCTTCTGGGAGGCTCATTTCTGAAAAGGGGTTAATTTTAAAAACTGTCAGTGCTAACACGTATACACGTAGCAGTCGGGCCAGCCGACGGCGCAGAGTAGTATAAAAACGAGTAGATCGGCGTAAACAAGAGAGCAGAGGTTTACCGCTCTCACAGGATATGGGCCGATCGCAATCGCGAGACTTTCACACCACTGCAAAACCCCAACAACACAACACAACTTCAATCTGCTCCAGTACACCCTTACTGTCGTAGCCCGCTCCGGCGATAGCCGTTGAAGCCCAACTCACGACACCATTTCCTAAGCAGACATTCGCCTACGGCGCCGACACTATAGAGCAACTGCTACCATTCGGGACCCCCTCTGTCAAGCCGCAAAACTTGTAGCCATGGCGGATCCCTGGAACACCACTCCAGTCACAGCAACAAACATTCCCCTGCCCCAGCAAACAAACAACACACAGCCATTGGCAGCTCAATCATTCCCTCAATAGAAATTCACCGACCAGCTTCCATATCTCACCGAAGAGAACTTCCTCCAGTGGAAGGCGAATCTGGAAGATATACTCATCGAACACGAATGTGGGATAAAACCTCTCCGCCCTGGGTTGGGTGAGAGGCGGAGGTTTGAGCGAGGGAGCACGCGGCGTGGACGCGACGCGCTAATAGAACCGATCGGACGAGCTCGCGAAAAGGGAGTGGCTCACTGGCCGGTTACGCGCAGTCGCCCCGTGGTGCGTGAACGGGAGCGACCGGTAACGGGTTAGAAGCCAGCGCGCGCGATAGACAACCGAAACGGACGTATATAGGCGCGAAAGGGACGGGTGCGAGCTTGCCCCAGTTTACCGGTAGGGACGGGTGTCAGGTCTTAACCCCTCAGAGGGACGCCTCGGACACCTGTCCCAGTACAGTAGTACAGTACCTGCCGCCTAGTGCGTGCCGGGTACTGTACACAATTAAAAAGCTAGCGCCATAATTACTACTAACGCACGGACGCTGCTACTACACGTGTGCATTACTGTACACGCGTGTTGCTTACAGACTACCGCACGGACGACACGTGTGCTCACGCGCACACGTAACACGCGTAGACTACCGCACGGACGACACGTGTGCTACTGTACACGTGCGCCACGCCACGGCCGGTTGGTCATCGCGCGCGCTCCCTACACGTGGGCACACCCGCCTACGTGTGCACCGTGCACGGCCGCACGGTTAATAACCTCCCCGCGCGCGCGACGGTCGTTATACTACAACGAACTGGAATTTCTCATCATGAGTAATCACCAACCGTCGCGAACTACTTCCGAACAAGATTCTCTCTTTCTCCGAAAAGCTTCTGCAAGTGGCAGAAGACTCATCACAGCCAGTATTCCAGCCCAAATTAACCGCCTTCTCCCGATGCAGGTCTACACTGAAACACTTGCGAAGATTGTAGAGGCTCTACAACAACTCCTGCAGAGAACTTCCGCGATGGACCACCAAATACTCGAGCGTGAAGCAAGACAGCTCACCTTAACCACAGATCTGATAATGAAGGAGTACATTGACCAGCACAGGGCAATTCGCGCTAAAATGATCTCCGCCAATTACCCGAACATCAACAACGTTACGCATTATTGTAGAAGGTCTTAGGGAACACCCCATTTTTACTGTGCACATCTCAACATTCAAAGCAGCCGGGCTCCCCAACACGATATCCGAGCTCCATAACAGGCTGTCCGACCTCTACGAGGATCAAAGAGGCAGACTCAATATGTCCTCGCAGCCAATGCGCTCCTTCCATCAGAGCGACACAAACCAGACGCATAACAGATTCGACCAAACCAGAAAATTCAACAACAGACGGTATGATCCCCGCCAGCAACCCCATAATCGGCATCGGACAAGCGGCAGATGGAATCAACCTTACAAAACACAGTACGACAACCAAACCGGCCAGCTTATGCAAATCGTATAAGCTGCCAAATTGGTAAATCAATCTACCAATCCGCAGCAAGATCGAGCCCGAAGCCCCAAACGCCAGATTCCACGCCGCACAAAGCATGATTCCCAGGCAAATGTTGCCACTATCGACACCGAACCAGACGCTGAAGACTACATGGCAACCTTCGGCCATATACCATTCCCCAAAACAGCAGACAACGGGGACGCAGATGCTAACAGTAAGTTCATCCTTGACTCCGGCACCAATCCCTCGCACATCAACATCCCCACCACTGACTCCAAAACACTGCAATAACCCATTCGAACACAAACTGCTTCCTCCCCGATAACATCCAACCTCGTTGGCTCCCTCAAGGGGAAGACCAGCACTAAACAGACATTCCGACTACCCATAATCATCAACAACGCACTGTCAGCCTCCCTCCTCTCAGTACACGCCATCGCTAAGCGATTTGGACACGTCCTGTTCTTGGAAGAGACAGCCACAATTCTAGACACAAAAAACCGAAAACACACACCACTAGTTGGAACAGCCACATTTGGCAACGGTCTATACACGCTAGACAAACCAGCATTCCGCATCACAGACAAAAAATTAACCATCCGCAA